TTTGACCTCATGCTCTGGTGGCAGCTGGTTGAGCAGCTCCTTTAAGGCTGTGGTCTCAGCATGTGATATGGGAGCAGGACGCCTGCAGGGCAGGCTCCTGGGAGGACAGATATGATCTGGAGTCCATCCGAATTGACTGGCATCGGTGCCATTCTCACTGCCTCCAACCTGGATGGAGTGAATGCCTTTTAGACATACCTGGCCCAGGGGTCAGAGAGGCTAAAGGAGGATACAGAAGAAGGGGGAGGAGTTGCAGGACCAGCTTCCATGCCACACCAGCTGGGTGAGCCAGCCAATGAATGACAGAGTATGGGAGGCATGAAAGCACCTGTCCCGACCTTCTGAGCCTGTAAACCAAGAATAACTGCTCCTTCAGTTTCACATCCATCTTGCCTGCAGATATCTCTTAGGGCCCACCTTAGATGAAAACATTCTAGCCAGTATGTGGCTTTTTAACCTTGTGTTTATTGTTGATAGTTCCATCTGACAAGTGATATCTGTATTGACATCCAATCTTATTTTTATGTTAATTTACTTAAGTTTAAAAACTCTGAATGATTTGCAAGAAGACTAGTGGGCTGGGGACACGGCTCAGGGGCAGAGGGCTTGCCTAGCATTGTGAGGTGCTGGGTTCAGGCCTCAGCACTGCAGAGCAAACAAAAAGACGACAAGTAAATAATGTCACCCAGAAGATGGACATCCCAGTCTCTCGTAAAGATACTTGAAGAGCTGATTTTGGAAAAAAACTGAGCTGGCCCTGTCATGTGACATAAAACCCTAAATATGTGTTCTTTACTCTCCTGACTCTGATTAGGTAGTTGCTCTTGCCAAAGAATTCCTTCCCCTGAGTTCTGTTTTAATTAATTCCCTAGCAGTCTTCACCACCTTACTCAAGTGCGACATTCACAACTTGCCCCTCCTTCTCGTGGGTAGAATTCACATCTCCTTTTTTCTGTGCTCTCTTGAACTTTGTTTCTACGGTGGCTCACTGGGCTCCCATCACAATCTGCCCTGTGTTCACAACTTTGGATGTATTTGCTATCTTTACTTGAATGTGTGTGCCTCGAAGGAAGCGACTGCTTCCAAATCCTTGTTGGTTATCATCTGAGGTGCATAATACAATGTGCTCCAAAGTGTTGGCGCTTGCTAAAATCAAAAGATTTCAATTAAAATTAAATAACACAGAAGGAGGGCCAGGTGCGGTGCTGCACACCTGTAAATCCCAGTGACTCAGGAGGCTGAAGTTGGAGGATTGCGAGTTCAAAGCCAGCCTCAGCAACTTAGCAAGTTCCTAAGCAACTCAGTGAGACCCTGTATCTAAATAAAATACACACACAAAAAAAGTCTGGGGATATGGCTCAGTGGTTAAGCGCCCCTGAATTCAATCCCCAGTACCAATAATAACAACAACAACAGAAGGAAGGTGGTCAGGTGGTGATATTCCCATTTTACTTGAGATAAACAGATGTGTATAAAATAATTTGTCCAGTCTTAGTTAATGGTGGTAACAAAAACTAGGTTCAAGAACTACTGGTTTTCAATGCACGATTTTTGTTCCAGCATTCTATGAGGGGTTGGTTTAAAAAATACATATGATAGGCTGTTATCTATGATTGGTGTGTTGGGTGTTTGGAATGGATAAAGAAGAATGTTAAGGTTTTTTTTCCTAAAGAACATAAAAAGTCATTAGAAAATTAGAATTTGACTCAATCTACACAAATAATGACAGAAAACAATATTTGCCTATTAAGTAATCCAACCAACTGATGCTTCAGAAATTAAGAAAGGAGACTGCGGTCTAGAGTGGTTATTGGAGACTTCAGAAAGACAAGTTGAGATTGAGATGAACTTTGAACCTTGGGTTGAGAGGGTTTGAAATTAGGAAGGTCATTTGAAGTGGAAAAACAACATTGGAAAAGGTATAGAAGAGGGACTACCCTATACCCTGGCCACATAGAATGTGGCCCAGACACATTGTTGGATGTGGTTAGAAATGCAGGGTCTCAGACCCGACCCCAGACTTAGTGAGTCAGACCCTGCCTGTTAAGTTGAAAAGACTGGCATATACTATTTGTATCGTGCTGTACAATTTCCTGTCAATTAGAGAAGCATCCCATTTGACCCTTAGCAGGGGATAGTTAAAATGAAGGCTTTAGATTAAAAGGTACCATTAGCATCCATTCTTACTCTAAGAAAACCTGAAGTTAGAGAGGTTTGAATTTGCTCAAGGCTGGCTGGAGCTGAGGTTTAGACGCAGGTATGCAGATTCCTATGCTTTTCACCTCTCACAGCGAGTTAAGTCATGTTTGGGGGATTGAGGAGGTCTGTGCAGACAGCTCGAATGTGGATTAATTGGCAGTTGAGCCATAGGAAACTTATCCTTTGTCTGTTAATATGCTTTGACCAGAATAGTTTCATGGGGTGTTTCGGGGAAGTTGATCCAGTGGTGTGTTGTGGATGGATTAGAATGGGGACGAGAGAGTACTCAGAAACACCAGTTACTCGGAGTGTGTAAGTACGTTCCAAATTTTAAACACAAAAAAAATAGGTACTAACAGTAAGTCAGCCAAGCAGAATTTATCAATGTCCCCTTTGTGCTGGGCACCGGGCACGTGGTCCTGCCTCCGAGATTAGGGTCTTGATTACGTAATGCTTTTAGGATTGGGTCAGGTGGATAACTGAGAACTAATAGCAGAAAAGACGAATAGTAATGACTACAATAAAATCATCTTTGATTTTTGTCTCCTTCATTTCCCCTGAAGAAAAAACGCTCTGGCCTCAAGGTCAGTTAGCTCCCATTCTCATCCTGGTTCAGCTATCGGTGTTAAACGAGATGGTGAATGATCCCTTAATTGCTCTGTGTCTCATTTTTCCTGCCTGCAAAACAAACGTCACACCTGACCATGACTTTACATGGAAGCTATTGTGATGACATAATTTACAGGAGAGGCTTCCTCCTTCCTTGGGAAGCGTGACAAAAGCTCATAATGGTGATAATATAAAATTACTTTTCAAACCTTCACTTTTTTGAAACTTTTTAAAATTCCAATCCCCTGGTGCATTTTAGTCATTTTTCTAATTATAATTACATTGATAGGGAGAGGGAAAAAAAATCCAGCCATCTGTGGCACTTGTTCTTCCTTCCCTGGAGGTAGAGCCGAGAAGATAATGATTTATTCGAGATGTTGTCAGTCCTACTCGGAAGGAGAATGGATGGTGGTTTCTTATGGTGGCTTTAAGGCCCATCTGCTGTTGGTTGCGATTTCATTAGACAAAAATATGTGGGTGAATGTGTACGTGGTCGTGGTAGAATGATAGTAGAGAAAAGAATGAGAGAATTGTTGTTGTGGTGTTGGTTGTTGTTCTCTGGGGGAAAGGAGCAGGATGTGTGAGTTGTGTGAAATTGTCATAGCAATGTGTGAGGGTGGTGCATCCCCAGGGCTAGTTTAGTGCCAAGCCATCTTTGACTTCCTGTGACCGTATGACCCATGGATATAGAGCCTCTGGTATAAACGACTTAACATTAGGCTGTGATTGGAGGTTAAGACTCTCCTCTCTACCCTAATCTCATGGTGCCTCTTGGGTAGCATTATCATGCAGTTCCTTTCCTGAGTGCCTACTCAGTCTCCATTATGACCAGCAAGACTGAGCATGACATGGATTTCGAGCTGTCACTGAGGCGGGCACTGTCTAGAAAGGTTGCAGGTTTCTGACCTTTTTGGTGACAGAAAACTGTGGCCCTGTGTGTTCTGCTGTGGACCTTGGATGTGCGTGTGGACACATATGTGTCTATGTGAGTGCCCCCAAATACACACACTTGTGCATTGGGTGGGCCGGAGAGACCCTGAGAGTGGTAGGAGGAGGGCAGAGAGGATGAGATAGGTGGGAAGTGCTTAATCAGTTTCTTAGGTCCTTACTAAGTTGCTGAGACTGGCCTCAAACTGGAGGATGAGGTCCTGCCTCATCCTCCTGAGTCACTGGGATTATAGGCATGCCATGGCGTCCACATTTCCTACGTTATGACTAAAGTTGTATGCTAGCACCAATTCTTGGTTTCTGAACTATTTTCTCCAGATTGTGGTGTTTACTAAGAATGGGGCCTTCGTAATGAAACATGTCTCCAACTACAGGACCCTTTGGAGAATTTTCCCTTCTACCTAGAACATTCCTTATCCTGGGACAATCCAGATAAAAATGTGAAGTGCTAACAGATACTCAACAGGAACTGACTCTCGTGGTGGCACGCAGTTAGCATTAGAAAAGTGTGTGTCATTATCACTAGCATTCTCTCTGAGCCATTTTTTCCATTCCCTTGTTAAATGCGTAGGTCCTGGGTTATTTGTTTTGGAAGCCCAAAAGGTGAATCGGCACATGAATGTGCAGTGAAGAAAGTGATATGTGCTCTAGAAAAGTCTAGATGGAACTTTGTAGGTGAGCAGGAGAGGACATCTGGAGAGGAAGGCAAGAGGCAAGGGAAGGCGTTATTCTAAAGCTGCATCTTGGAGGATGGGGAAAGTTCAACCATTCAAGTGCCTTCCAGGTGAAGTGAATGGTATGACAAAAACAGAAAAGGGCACACTCAGAGAGGACACATGGCTGGTTTGCTTTGCCCGATTGAAGGCTGCACGTTCACTAGCACATATGTTTTGAGTCATCTCCTCTGTGTTCCTTGCCCTGTGTTTTTCATTTCTTTCTACCCATCAATTAAATTTCAGCAGATTGTAATTGGGGTGGGGGGGCAGTTACTAGGTGGACGAAAGTGGCTTTGTAATTTTAGCGATTGCAAAATGTGTAATCAATGTGTTTTTGCAATGATGAGGGTCTTTATTTTTAAAAACTGATTGCCTCCTGTTCTAAAATGTCCTTAATAGTACACAAATTGGGACTAGGATGCATGTAAACCTAGGGACATGTTTTCCTTTGCATCTTATAATAAATCACCACATGCACCAGCTGACTTGGGGCTGCTTTGTGCATCTCCAGAGGTCCCCACAGTCTACCCACTCAAAATAGATTGGGGCTTCCTTGCATCTTTTCAGCTTTACCAAAAGAATACTTTTTAAAAAAAAATCCATCCTGGATTTTTGCATTAGCTTTCTGTTATAACGCCTGCAATGTCATGACTCCTTTTCTCTTCCTTTGACAGCAATCCTGTCATCTAGTGGTGATAGACTGCTCTCCTTCTGGTTCATTGAGCTGATTGGGGCCACACCATTCATTTAGCTGAATATGCCCCTACAGAATGGTGTACAAGGGGCCCCAGGCTGGAATTCTCTGCAGACTGGGGAGGAGATGATTGGGAAGTCTCTCCTGTGTGTGCCTCAGTCAGCTCATCCATCTACTGGGCACAGTACCACATGCCAGAGAGAAATCACATTTCTTCATGGTTTTTAGACACTTGCTTTATTTAAAGATATTTGAAGACATCAAGTTCAAAGTTAATGGGGATTGTTTCTTAAATAAGATCACCACACTGTGAAACAGACTGATTATGTTTTCTTAATAAATGTTAAGCTTAAAATAATTGTCCAATAATGAAAGCCAAGACAAATGGAAATCTATAGCATACAAAGGCTCTATAGGACAGCTCGTAAACCCCATCGTAACTACAGAGCCTAGCACAATCAATGACAAATGACTTGTATGCTCAGTAAATATTTCTGGGATGAATGGATAAAATATCTTTTCTGGTAGAGAACAATTATGATTAGATTAAGCCAATATTAAGTGCAGGTGAAGGTGGTGAAATGAATATCTACACCTGGGATTTTGAAATTCTTTAAATCCTGAGTTGCATGTCGTATCTTCCATTAGTATCTATGGAAGTACACATTATGCTTTGCTTTAATAAAGCAATACTATATATGCTGTTTTCTGAGACATGCAACTGTGCCACTGGGTCTTCTTTAGATCATGAGTCCACGGCCCGGTGCCTGGTTATCTGAGCAGCAGATACAGTGTTGGAGAGGAAGTAGCAGGGATGTTGGGCTTTTAAGTCAGAGCCCATAAAGTCGGACCGTATCAACAGAGTCCTTAGCATCAGCTCTGTCTCAGAATAGATAGGAAAACACCCCGAAGAAGCATAAAGTGCTCTGTAAGTGGGCTGCTGTTGGCCTTGTTCCTCGCAGAGCACGAAGCTTCCTTTTCACACGATTCTCCTTGGTTTCTGATGTGGCCCATTTCTGATGTGGCTCCTAAGAACACAAAAGCAAGAAACAGACCCTTCAGGGTTTGCGGGCACCCTGAGTTTTCCACCTACATGGCCCTTCAACAGCGTCTGCTTTTGTGTGCTTGCTCTTTCAGCTGTACGTGGCCACGGAGGCCATCCTCATTGCACTGATCGGGGCCACACCGTCGTACCACTGGGACCTGGCGGGGCTCCTGCCCAACCAGAGCCACGGCAACCACTCAGCGGGCAAAGACGAGGCCTTCGGGGAATGGCTTCTGACCGCCAACGGCAGCGAGATCCACAAGCACGTGCATTTTAGCAGCAGCTTCACCTCCATCGCCTCTGAGGTAACCTCGGGCCACGCCGGTCACTAAGGGACTGCCCTTCCTCCCCGGAGGGAACCACTCTTTTTTGTCTTGTTGGTTTCCATCTGAGCCACTTCTTCAAGTAACTTTCTCATAAATTAAAGACGTAAGGTTTTCATGTTTCAAAGGAGAATAGACTATAAAAACACATTCTTTTTCCTTCTCCCTGCCCTTTGGGAGAAGTGTGCATCTCACCCAAATTAGACGGAATAAGATAGACGCTCCAAAAGAGCTCATTTCGATGATGGCGTCCAATTAGAAAGTGAATTAAAACTTTCATCTCTCTTTTCCACCTATGCAAATGTTGGTAGAGTAAAGAAAGAGAAAGGCACTGGCCCATCTGGAGCATCCTGCTCTCTTTCATTTTTAAGTCAGTCCCGTGGGTAGGTTCAAGGGGGCACCCTGAACGTGCAGTCTACAGTAGAGATGGTGCTACCAGGGCAAGCAGGAAGCCCTGCCGTGAAGGAAGCTTTGCTAGCCAAGGGGAAGGCTCCAGCCCTGAGCCAACCAGAGATAAGCTGAGGGCAGACAGTCTGGAGAGGAGAAACCCTGGGATGGAAGGGGCCGGAAGCACGGGCACTGGTTTAAAACTGTTGAAATGCTCCTGTCTTCTTTGCCTGCTCCACATAAGCTCCTCCAGATGCCTGTGGCTGCCTGCTCTTAGGCATGGAGTCTGACACGTGCCTTGCTGTCATCACCCGTCCAGGCCTGGAAACCACCCTCCCGGTGCCTGTCCGCCCCACCGTGACCCCAGCCACCCTTTCCTATTGTTGGAATTTTTGATTACCATCTGTTAGATGATGGGGCTTAGTAAAAAGAGACAGCCCCCAGGGTGGCGTCTGCTTGGCCTGTTCTTAGGAGTCCCCCAGGAGAAGGGATAATTTCTAGTTTAACTTCTCCAGGTACCGTAAAGCAGCATTTTCAACAAGAACCTGCCCATGTCACTGCTCACTCAGAAACCTCCAGCGATTCTCCCACTGCGCACAGCACAGAAGGACCCTGAGGCCCGGCCCACCTCACAGGTGGGTCAGGGTGGACTTCTCCACCTCCACTCTGTGCCTCAGCCCTGCCCATCCCTTTCCCGGGGATTTTTACTGTGCACCCCGCATGCCCTGGGCCTCCGGCCTGAACCTGTTACCTGGGGCATGGACCCAGAGGTCCCAATCTGCCACCTAAGGGCCCACTTTCATTGTCACCTTCTCTGGAAGTCTTCCCAGCCCCACTTCCCAGGAGTACTCTCCCGTTTCTGCTCTAGTAACATTTTGAGAGTAATATGTCACCGGCTCTTATTTTTGGTTCAACTCTTTATTTTGTAAAAGGTCTTTGAAGTCAGAAATCATGTTTTGGTCATCTTGGAATCCCCCGGGCTACTCACAACAGCAATAACCATGACCACCACTAATCTATTAAAATAACCAATAGCATTGCAGAAGGGTGCTGTCTGCTGGGCATTGTGTTGGTTACAGCCCTTACCCTACTTAATTCTCACAATAATTATGCAGTAGGCATTATTTTCTCCACTTTACAGATGAAGAGGTTTGAGACTCTGGGAGGTCAGGGTTAGCTAATAAGGGCAACGCTGGTATTTGAACCCGAATTCATCTTAACTCAGAAGCCCGTGCTCTTCATTACTCTACTTTCAAAAAACTTATCCCATACAAATTGTATTCACATTTCTTAGGTTCTTTTTTGATAGCTAACAGTAGCCAAATAATTTTTTTTTCAATCTTTAATTTTCAACTGATAGGAATTTCAGGAATAACTGTGACTACCCTTATATCCTTTCATTTCTCTGTGAATATTTTGCTTTGATAGCATTGTTTTTCTCTAAGCCATTTTAAAAATTGCATATATCAGTCTTTTTTTACACTCCAATACTTCAGGGTGTGTTTCCTAAAAATAAGGAAATACAAGAATGCCACAGTACAGTTTACCAATTAATTAAGTTTAAGTTTTCCTTAAACAGTCGTCCATTTTGATTTACCACCAACATCCAATTTTTGTCGCTTGATCCAGTATTGTCTTTGATTGATTTTTTTTGTTTCCTAAACGTATTGAATCTGGTTCAGGATTATGTATTACATTTAGTTGTTATAGCTCTTCAAGGTATATATGTACGTGTGTGTGTATGTCTGTGTGTGTCTGTGTGTATGGTACCACACACACAGACACACACACTCTCACATACCCCCAGTCCTGGGAATTAAATCCAGCACCTTATGCATGCTAGACAAGTGCTCTGTCAGTGAGCTACATCCCCTGCCCTGTTTATTTTTTATTTTGAGATATGTTCTTTTTAAGCCCAAGCTGGTCTCAAACTTGTGATCCTCCTGCCTCAACTGAGTGGCTAGGATTACAAGCAAGACTCTTTGTGCCCAGTTTATGATTTTGGTATTTTTAAAGAATCCGTACCCCTTTCCTGTTTAAAAATTGCATTTTTTGGGGGGAGGGGAGATCTATCTAATGATAGCTCATTCTGGTTGGTTATGCATCCCTGGTCAGAATAGTCCACAAGTAACATTGTGTCCTTCTCAGGTGTCACATCTGGAGACACACAATATCCATCTGCCCCTTTTTGGTGATGTTAATTTGGATTATCCATGCTGGGTGTCAGCTGAGTTCTCCCTTATACAGTTATATATTGTTTCATTTCAAGGAATAAGTAACACTTTTAAATTATGTAAATTTGCTGTTCTTTATCAGATCTTAGTGTCTATTGATGAATCTTGTGTGAACCAACCTAGACAACGATGGTGGCAAAGTGATATTTCTCAACCCAGCCATTCTCACCCACTACTAGTCGGCATCCTGCTTTGTGCTGTAAGCAAGAGTCCTTTCTTTCTCCCTAGTGTGTGTCTGTTGGCCTATACATCTATCTGTCATGAGTGTGTACTCAGAGATGCCTGTTCTTTTTAACGATTTATAATTTATTATAACCCTTAATTATTTTGCTGCTCAGATTATCCCCAGTTTACCAGTGGGAACTCCTTCAAGCTGGCTTTTGTGTCCTTTTTACAATTTTTAATTAAAATTTTTATTTTGAAATAATTATAGATTTACATGCAGTTGCAGGAAATAATAAAGAGAAACTCTGTGTACATTTCCCCAGCTTCCCCAGTGGTAACATCTTTCCAATAATATCGTAGCTCAGATGCTGACATCGATACAGCTAAGGCCCCAACATTTCCATCACCACAGGGACCCCTCTAGTTGGCCTAGTGGAGTCATACCCACTTCCCTCCCATCCCTCACCCTTTTCCTAACTCCCCATAACTCCCAATCTGTTCTCTTAAACCATACTTTTGTCATTTGAAGAATGGTTTGGAAAATGGGATTACATTCTTGGATCCTTTCTGGATTGGCTTTTTTTTTTTTTACTCAGTATAATTCTCTGCAGATACATCCAGATTTAGTAATATTTTTTAGTTACTTAACAAGGCTTGGACTAGGGTAGATTTATTTATTTATTTATTTATTTATTTATTTATTTATTTATTTATTTATTATTGTTTTGCTCTAACTATTTTAGAACCCATTTTAGTGATTCTTTCGGCATTACTTTACATATACATATTTATCACAGTCTACTGATGCAGTCAAATTAACAGGTGGAAGGACAAATAGAGACTCCGCATCACCCAAGGTCCCTTTACTCCTACAGTTCATAATTGTCTTAACTACATTTCTTATGTACTTTTAGAGCCACACTGTACAGGACTAGAATTTAACATATCAAATAGAATTTAGAAGAGAAGGAAAGTCCATTGTGCTTATCCACATTTTTGCTGACAGTGTTCCTTCATCCTTACTGATATTCCAAGATCCTTTGGGAAATGTTTTCTGTCTTTTTATAAACCTAATAATTGTTGTTTTATTTTAAGGTAGTTCTGTGGGCACAGAAGTCAGGATGTCTTGTCTTCTCCTTCACTCCTCGTTCGCAGAGGTTTTAAAATTCATGATGCCAGTGTTGCTTCCTTCTGGCCTCCTTGGTTTCTGATGAATAAGCTGCCTACTATTTGAATTTCCCCCCATACCACTCTAGTAGAGGGATGTCATTTCTCTCTTGCTGCTTTCCAGATGTTTTAGTTTAGTTTTTTGTGTTTTTTTTTTGGTCTTTAGTTTTTAGGATTTAGACTATGGTGTTCCTGGGTGTGATCTGTAAGGTTTTTTTCTTTTTTTTCTTTATACCAATTTGGAACTTTTCAGCTACATTTTTCTCAGCGCGTTGTTAACCTACCCCCTTTCTCCTTTCCTTCCAGAACTCCAGCGGTGGCAATGTTAGCTCTTTTGTGATAGACTCACAGATCCCTGACTCTTTATTCTTTTTTCTCAGCCTGTTTTTCCCTTTGTTTTCAGATTGGGTGTTTCCTCTTGTCCTAGAAGTTTGTTGATTTTGTTCAAGTTTACTCTTTCCATTCTTCTGTAGGGCCCATTCATTGTGTTTTTCCGTTCTAGAAACTTCATCTTGTTCTTTTATTATAATTTTCCCTTTCTTTACCAAGACCTTTTCTACCTTTGGCTGTCTTTTCATTTTGTTACTCATTTCAAACATTTTGTAAATGCTCATTGGAGCATTTTTTAAAAAAAAAAATATTGTTTTTAGTTGTAGTTGGACACAATATCTTTATTTATTTATTTTTCTGTGGTGCTGAGGATTGAACCCAGTGCCTCACACGTGCAAGGCAGGCGCTCTACCACTGAGCTACAGCCCCAGCCCATCATTGGAGCATTTTTATGATAGGGCTTTCACACATTTGTTAACTAATTCCAGCATCTCTGTCATCTCAGTGATTTTTTTTTTATTCCATTGATAGAGTTTGAGATTTTTCTGATTATTGGGGTATGACATTATTTTCATTTGAAAACTATAGATTTGGGGTATTTTGAGATTCTGGGTCTCATGTAAACTTTCTGCTTTTGTCAGCTTTCTGTGACACTGTTCTGGTGGGGAAAGAGCAGGGCTCCTCGTTACTACCAGGTGATGGTGGAACACGTCTCAGTGGTCCACACTGACACTGGTGGGGCAGGGTTGCTGCCTGGCAGGAATGAAAGTGTGGCCTTCCCTGGCACCTCCTGGGTGAGCTTGGGTCACTTGTCAGGTGGCCAGGATGGAAGCCTGTGCTCCCCACTCGGCCCTGGCTTGTGTAGATGGGATTGAAAACGTGGTTTTTGTGTGGTGATTAGAGTAAGCACTTACTACCTTCAGAATCCTTTTGTCTGTTCCTTTTGGAATTTCTCCAGCACCTGGTCTTGAATATGTGAGGCCATAAGAAACCAGGGAACTCACCACTGGGTCATTCCTAGGGTCCTAGGTCCCCAGCTGGTCTGCTCTCTACCTTTCAGAATTGTCCCATGTTGGCTTTATATAGAAAGCCCCATGTTTTTCGTTAACACTTAGTGGGACAAATAAGGAAAATATGCCTGCTTTGTCCTCAGGAAGTGATGCCTTCTAGTGTCCTCTGGATCATTTTTTTTTTTTTCCCTCAGCACGTCAGAGAGTTTTGGCATGACAAGCTACCCCAGGTTCATCTTGCTCCTGCCTTCCCCAACCATGGCCTTAGGCATTTCTCCAGGAGCCCCTGGCTCCGTTTAGTACCTCCTGAGATTGTGAAACGGTTAGTTGTAGGTCTTCTTTCCGAGAACTCCTTTACCATGCCCGTTGCAGACTAAATTCCGCTACACGTATAAACATTGATTAACTAAATTCTTACCATCCACAAGCACACAGTAAACTGTATTATAGCCTCGAGAAACCCAGCTCTTTGGTCTCCTAGGTGTTCTGAACATGGTTTCCATGACAGGTCACTAGAGGAGAATTCCAATGTTTCATAAGGTGGGATACTCACTCCACCCTCCCTCCTCCTCCTCCTCCGCACACCACTGCCCGTGTCAGAAGTGAGAAGCTTTCAGAGTTCATGATGGACCTGGGAGGGGTTTTTACCCCAGAATGGTATAGACTACCCTGGATTGTCTCTGGCCATGCAAGGGTGGGGATCTCCAAAATACACTGAGCTTATCCATGTGTCTTGAAGGCCTTTATTTTCATCAGCAATCACCCACTTTTCATAACACGGCTAGTCAACAGACCACTGTTTTAGTAGTGAATTTGTGAAGTGCCCATTGTTGATGGAGGTGATGATTACAGAGGCCCTGGTGCAGATGGTCTTTCTGAAGTGAAGACCAGCCGACCGTTCCCGGACAGTGGTCTTGCTCAGACTGCTCATGGTACTGGGGTGAAAGTGTGACCTGGGTAATAAGTAAGCAAGTCCCACTGTACTTGCTTAATACTCTGAATTATTTAACATAGCAGCACTCGACTTCAGCAGAGCAGGCCCTCAACAAATTTTAATGGGATTTGAATGAAATTAATGTTGATGAAATCCAAATTTAGGCTCCCTTTTAGGTGTCACAGAAGGATATCACTGTTAGCAAATGTTCTTGGAGCAACTGCTGCTCACCTCATTGCTAGAAAAGTCTCCACCGAAGGAGGGAGAGCTGTGGGATGCTACACTTCAGGACAGCAACACTTGTCCCCGGCTACATTGAAAGCTCACTATAAACGGTACATGCCGGAAGACTGAAGACGGGGAAAAGGAGAATCAGCCAGAGGGAGCCCAGAGAACCCCTTCTCCCAAGAGAGAGTTGGTAGATGGAGGAGAAATGGGATGAAATGACTTCCCCAGCAAGTGTTGAAGATCTTTAAAGTGGCTCTGAGAGCAGAAGAATGAAGGGCTCAGATGGGTCTCACCTTTCTATGTGGGATGTAGCTGTGTATTTTCCTATAAATTAACACCTGAGATAGAGAACATTTAAAGAATTTGCCTTCAATCCTATCCCTAATAAGCTACTGTTCTGGGACTCAATGAGTCTATCTTCTTTCTATTACACTATTTATTTAGGTATTAGGATTGAACACAGGGGCTCTTAACCACTAAACCTCATCCCCAGTCCTTTCAATGTCTGAGTTTGAGACAGGGTCTTGCTAAGTTGCTTAGGGCCTTGCTAAATTGCTGAGGCAGGCTTCTGAATTTGCAATCCTTCTACCTCAGTCTCCTGAGTCACTGGAATCACAGGCAGGCGCCACCGCACCCAGCTTATTTTTATTTATTTATTTATTTTAATAGAGGCTTTTAATTTTAAATGGTATCTTAGATGGCATGCCAGTGTGTAAAAGAGCTACAGACTTTGCTGTTGTCATTGGACAGGGACTGGGTCCAGGCAATCCTGCTGCTGCCAACACTTTGCAGAGTCCCAGAAACACAAAGACAACAGGGCAAAGAACTCCCTCTGACTGGGCTGTGTGTTTGTTAACAATAAAGTGACAGGGAGTGCCTGATGGCAGTATGTGCCAGGGGCAGGTTGGCAAGAATGTAGGCTAGCACCATGACCGTGGCAGGATTGTTTACGGTGCTTGCATGTTGGGCTGAAAGCTGGGTTGAAAAAATAAATAAATACTCACCTTCTGGCTGCCAGCCATGCTCTTGAGAGTGCCTTTGACAGAGAATCCTAGGGGAGAGGGAAAGACACCACTAATGTTGATGTTGTGGCTTGCAGATTTTGGGAAGAACACTGGCTCATAATTGCTGGGTGACTTGCCTAGTGTTCCCTAGTTGGTGAAAGTAGGGGCCTAGCCACTGGTTTCTGTGACACTTCTACTGTAACACAAAACAAGCAGGAAGGGAGACGGGGGCTGTCCTCCATGAATGGGGTCATGGCACTTGGCTGCTCTAAGGGGTTGGGACTCAGGATATTTGTATCCGACTTGGGAGGAGCCGGGCAAGTGGTTCTGCACACACAAACTCAGGGACAAAGGAAGTAGA